CGTTAATCAATACTTTAAAGATAGAGAAAAAATGTGTGAGGAAACTGGCTGAAAATAACTCCCGGTGAGCGACCTCATTTGCATATTTATCAGATCATGGTACCAATTTATCGGATTGGTTTATGAGCCTATAACACCAGCGATTATATGATAAAAGTGTTATTTGGAGTCTCAACGATATGATGCCTGATACTGCTGCCACACAGAATGGAAGGACACCCACACCAAACCTGCATAACAAAATCGTAATCACAGAATACAGACACTGTAGAATGCTACAAGCGATCCATCAAAGAATATGAAATAGCTATCTTGATTAGAAAGGTATTTACTTTTGGGCCCCATAAGGTCCAAAGTAACAAACGAGTGGTTGATAACACAAGTCACCAAGCCTTAGATTTTGCTGAGCCGGAAGTGCTATAGGCCTATTCCATTTCTCTAGGAATGTATATATTGGAAGGTTTGATGCAGAATAACGTCCTTTCAACTTCAAAAGTCGATAAGTTACGGAGGCCTTTGAGATTTGGAAAGAATCTTATCCGACATGTTCTGCTGGCTGACTGTTAGCCTTTCTTCCATCTTGCAAGGTTTTGACTTTTGTCGTGATCAAATACAGCAGAGTGACTGAAATGGGTGAATAAGTCAGATTTTTCCATCTTCAAGAGAAAATTCAACTGTGGGCAAATCACTGACCCGCGTTACATCATATATTTGTACTGGGTTCTCCCACATCTCGAAAGAAAATTAGCTGAGACTGTAGACTTGCCCGTGTTCAAATATTTAAAACAAATTCTTTCAGAAACGTTCAAAAGTTCCAAGACGCCTTTTGTAGCCTTGAGTAAAACTGTTTCTGTAGTTGTCGTCACATGCAAGTAATGACTAAAGTATGGTTAACTTTCATATGCACTATTCTTATTACGTTTATTATAAATCAGTTTGGTTTTACTTATTTCCCATGTTATAAAGACCGATGGGACTAACCAGTCACGATCCTTGTCATATGTACAGCAAATGGAACTCGAACATCTCTAAAATTAAACCTTTCTAGGTGTGACTTCGTTAGTGGCATTTAGAAGCTGGTAGGGTGGGACCGCCTCCGTGGTGTAGTGGTAAGAGCGTCCGCCCGGAGAGCGGAAGGTCGCGGGTTCGATCCCCGACTGCGTCATACCAAAAGACGTTAAAATATGGTACTTGTTGGTCCCTGCCTGGCGCTCGGCATTAATGGGTACAACAAGGACTGGTCGGCTCAGAGTCAGTATACTGTGTCTGAGTGGGGTATTCATGCTTCACTGCGGCGTGGTATCTCAGTGGGCTAGCACTATAAAACCAGCTTCAGTCTGGGCTAGTACAAGCAGCCGCACATACACATACACACACATGCACGTCGTCATATGAGCGAAACATTCTCAAGCACGACGTTAAACCCAATTTCACCTCACCTCACCTGGTAGGGCGAATAGGAACACTTTTTATGGATTAACAACTTCTATATTGCAATAGACGAGACGTTTTGGTTGGCATTTACAATAAAGAAGTTTTCAATCCAAAAAACTTGTTCCTCTTTCTGCCACGTGTGGTTTAAAGTAATACTGACTGTGCGTGTCACAAAACAAACACGATAAAGATTCACATGGTTCAATATTAAACTTATGGGAAGTTCATATTTGTGCACATGCGCATTTCATCGACTGTTTATTGCGATGTGACATGTGTTTTGCATAGTCAAAGACTAAACATTTAACACCATCTTCTGCTTTCAAAGTGATATCCGGTTTAGACGTGCATGGATTTAAAGTAATCACTGACATATATGCGTGTTGCGTCATAGTCACTGTTAAATGAAACAAACATTGTTGACGATAAAAGATTCACATGGTTACAGCAATGTATTAAACCTTATCAGGGATAAGTTTCATGCGAGGTTTGACTTTGAAAAATATCTAAAGTTAGAGTTATTATATGTACACATATTTACTGTCCTGGCGCTCAGCTCTTTTTGATAAACAAAATCTTTTGAAAAAAAAGAAAGAATGTTCCATAGTACACGGTTGCAGATGGTCATTTTAGACACGTTATCGTTGAAAACGAACGAATGTCTGTTTGTTTTCTGCACGACTATAATGATAAGGATCATCTTATTATAGTCTTCATCGAACCAGTCTATCTTTACAGACAGTTACCAAGCCACATGTATCTTTTAAAAGATTATTGCAGAAAAGTGAAGGTCAAAGAAACATAATCAAATTTATTAACAGCTATTTAATGTTTTAAATGATACAAACTTGGCTTCCTCGCGTTGACCACTGTCACGTATTTTCCCGTCTCCCATGTAATAATCGTTCTATTTGTGCCATATCGGAGAGGAAATGAATAGAAATATTCTGAAATGAGCACTAATGAACTAAGCACTTTTATATCATTTCTGAAAAGTCATTTCTGCAACAAACTCTACGTGTACGAATCAGTGCCCTCGACTTTCTCAAGCGCTTTTGAGCAGCAATTTATGAACCAGTAGTATATTCGTGTATAGTTTGATTGGTTGATTGATATGGTAGACGTCATAATGCGGAACATTCTATATGGACGCATATTTTCATACAAAACATGAATGAGGAGTATTTGGGTAGTCTTTGCTATTTGTTTTTACTATATGTTTATACTAAGGATAACAATCTTAAATATATAAACGAAAACATGATAAATAGATAGAACGGGTCAATTTTCTGAAAACGCAATGCAAAGAGGTAAAATTTCATATATGTTCCACAGGTAAATTTAGTTTTCTATTCAAACCTTTCTACGAAAATTACAAATAGCTATACATGAATTTTATATTTTGTTTGTTTGGGTTACAACATTTTAGGTCTTAAGTTTCAAAAGGTTCTTGAAAGACATCTCACCATATCTTTCCGTGTATTGTCAGGTGAACAATTTACTTGCCTTGACAAGTGTTTATGATGTGCTAATTGTAGGGCAGGATACCTCGCCCTACATGTTGTCACTAGTGTTCAATATTGATTCATAAACACATGCTTAAGAAAGAGTTGGTTTCGCATCACGGACTCTACTTTTAGCAGACATGTCTATATTTTTGGAAATACCATTTTTCGAAAATATCTCAATTCAGAATCTATTCTCGCGTTCAAGCGTCTATATGGCGAAGTAATTCACTTATCCTAAATACCAATGATCTATCTACGAAAAAACAGTAACAACGGAGGTTTAAGATTCATTACGTAGGACAGATGATCTAATATATACAGTTAGCTGTCAGAACATCCTCCCGCCGTGATGCCACGGACCAGATATTGATCTATATGTAATCAAATATACAATTTATACGAATAAACCAATCTTACCATCCTTGATGCGTGTTTAACGATTTTTCTCAAACTCAAATCTGATAACGGTTCTGCTCCACGTATATTAAACAGCAACAACGTCACTGCTTCATTCGATGACGCGATATTTGTTCCGACGTTCGTATTCATTCATCTGGTTCATTTTAGTCTGTAATTCAGAATGACATGTCGACCAGTCTGGCGTCACATGCTGTATGTTTAGACATACCAGTGTTACGGAACTGCAGACAAGGACAGACTTATTAAATTTTAAGGAAACCTTTCAAACTTGTGGAAACGTAATTATTTCCGATGATGATACGGGACTCTGACATCTATTATACTGTATATTACATCTTGGAAATGAAATTGAATATATGTATTTATTCATTTATTTCACGGCGGATCAAGATAAGAATAAAATCAATTTCTCAAAACAGTGATTTTTAAGGCTACGTCGGTGACCTATCGATATTTGGGGTTATATCAATTATTTAAAATAGAAAACAACTTAAATAATAATATTGATTGTTTTAAATCCATGAAATATATACAATAGTTAAAACACATCGTTTAATGAGGCAGTACTTTTAAATGGGATACATCAATGAAACTGAATGATTACATTATCATTCCACTGCCATCAGTATATTATTTCTTCAACCTCTTGATTGTTTTACAGACGAAGAATATTTTTATGAATACCTATATGACTGTATGTAGTCCAATTAAAAGTTGAAAGAAGTCAGTGTCAATAAACGTTTATTAAGTACCAATTAGTACCAATTATTTGTAAAAGTAACTGTTGAAAATTCTGTGTTCTCACTCATTTTTATCAGTCCATTGTTGTAGGTTTTACAGCGATTCTGCTTTAATCCAGCGGAATCTATTTCGAGGAATAATCGAGACTGGTTATCTTTTTCATATTTTGTATTTCCAGAACATCTTTAAATCAATCAGATCAGCTGCTAAACACTTTTAAAATATTGGTTTTGTAACTTGAACAAGTCTGCTTCGGGTTGGTACATCTCCATGTTGACTGACTCTCAGAATGTACATCTTGTCACTTGGTATACACGTGGTCGTCGGGTAATGAACGTGGATAATAAGCAACAATTTGGAGATAAACAAAGAGGTATGTTCCTTCAATACCGTAAATATTACAAATACTACTATCAAGAGGAATATGTTTTGTAGTAATGAATCTGCAAACCCGTCTATCTAAACAACTACTATAGGTGGGAATAGTTGGGTCTTTATTTTTTATAAACCCTCAAAACAACTATATTAATTGATATTTCGCTGAAACTAGTGTCTTCATATTTGTCTATAAAGCAATAGTATAGTATGGAAATGTGACATTAAGGCATCAATATGTAATGTGAGCTCCGAGGATACTTTTTAAGCTTAGGGCATCCTAGATCCCAGAACAGGCCATGTGTTTAAGATTATATGAACGAACATACAGCTTACCATTTACGTGCAGAAATACGCTTAGTATTGCGACAAAATAATAAAACATAAGGAATATTTAATAAATATGGGCACATGACGGTGACTGAAGAAATATTCATTCGAGAATGCAACGAGAATGCAACAGATTCCCCATGTCACCAACAAAAAAGAAGACAGCTGAGGCTATAAACCATAATCGCTTACCTGTATATATGATAACTAATAGTCCAAGCCAACACAGATGGTAGAGTTGCATCATGGTGAGGTTCACACAGCCCTGCTTCCCTTCCTCGCTACAACCGCGCTCAAAATGGACGAACCTTGAACACGAGCACTTTTAAATGTTCATCCAACTATTGCCCAAACCGCCGCCGAAACTTAGCCCCGCTATGGTGTTTTGAATATTAATACGCCTGCGTAGATTCCTCGCACCCGGGAGACGGCGCTTGTTTTCTGCCCACGCGATGAAACATTGGCGAAAACAGCAGTGCTTCTGCGGTGGCTATTATTTATCAGTCGTTAAGCGAATAGTCTTTCTGGCCCGGCCCAGAGCACCGCTCTCAACGGGTGGAGATCTTGCCTCCCGCGGGCGGGGGATTAAGCGCACCAATCAATGATTAACCATTCACTTGGTGCACATGGAGAAGGTTTGATGTTGGACGGGCTATCAGTCTTTCAGTTTTTTTACTTTAGGGTATGTCCCGATAGAAGTACCTGGATGAATGGTTTAACTCTTGACGTAACGCATGTATTTCTTTGATCATGTCGATTAGCCTAAGTGATTTGTTTAAGTTCTAGAAAGCACGCTCGTCATGTTTCCATGGCCAGTGATGCTGTCCAACACAGATTCATACATGGGGCTACGTGGATGCTATTTTTGCATGGGATAAATGGTACTCTTTGCATCAATTGACAAAACTGAGAGGGGTAATATCATGTCATCTTTTACAGATATGATCGGTTATTGATTCTTCATCATTGATCGCAATTATTTGGTCAGATCGATATTCTAAAATCGTTTTCAAGTCACCGCAGGTGCAGGTATATACGTGGACAGAAACGATAAATATTTTGAAACCACAAACGTCTACATCCCACTCCGACTGCTGATAAATCTTTTTCTATTTTGGATGTTTTTTCCTCTCTGGTGAGGGTGGGTTCCATTAAGCCTTCCGGTTCAACAGACGGTTTGTTGTAGGCGTGGAAGAAGACTTTTATTGGCAAGAATTATTTTATCTCACAGACAAAACTTCATCGTTAGGGGCGGGTTTGGTCAGTTGGTGTTATGCGTGGGGTGGAGTGTAAATGGATATGGACGTGCTTGGAATCGGGTATGCATTTCTTGCATTACAAAGTTCATGGCATTTATTAAACACACTTTGCATAGTTTCCTGATTCTGCAGTACTGAACTATCTCCGTCTCTTCTGACAGAATGTTCACCACTACCCAAGGGTGCTTCGTGGACAACAGATTTATGGTTCAACATCGGCCAATCCCGTTCACCAATGTGTCTGTATTTTGAGTACTTCGTACCAGAAAATGACATATTTATAAAGGTCTTGTGAATGGTTGCGGGGAGAAAGCGCGTATGTCATAGAGCAGTTATATAGTGTGCTGACCGTAGATGGGAGTATCATTGTTACAGTTGCATGTTTTATGATGACGCCTCGGTGTAGTCCTTGCAGGTGATTCTGAACGGGAAATCCAATGCTTACTCTAAAACTGTAGTTTAAGAAGTAAAAGGTATAAGTCATTATGCAAATCTGTAGAAAGATAATATAAGCCATAATATAATACACTCGAAATCGCCTATTCCGAATGTAGATTCTACTTCAGAAAGAAATAGATTCTCATGATTGTAGTGCTGTTTACAGAAACAGTCAAGTGCAATAATGTGTTTCGGTTACTAAACCTGGAAGTGAAGATGGCCCGAAAATTTGAAAGTCGGGCAAGTCAGAAACAACAAAGCGACGTCAAGAACTCATTTTAAGTGCAAAGTCCTTGTGGACAGTATGACCAGGCTCCCGTTGCATATAGCCATCTCGGCGCCTGGAACGTGGTAACTCCCATGCCTAAGTTTTAACGCACGCTTTAGAGCAATGTGGGGCCAAGATCGCTCTGTGGAAAAGGGCCCTTGATCATAAGCCGGAAGAACGAGTTAGGTTAAGGGCCATCTTTGCCAAATGGAAATAGAAAAGTGTGGAAATATGGAATATTGGTATGAAAAATTCCAGATATGTTTTAGATGCGAGTTAGATAGCAGTTGAATGTGTGTCAAAAATGACAAGTTGTGGGATTATTACACCATCAAGTTTGTAAGTATGACTGTACCAGTTGAAACTATTTCGTACTTCGTGTAGAACTCTATATATGAGCAAATCTGTGGCCGAAAAGTGCTTTTTGCAATACGTTGGTGCTGTTTTATCTATTGGTCTCAAGAAATCGTCTTCGGTAAAGACTTGCTTGTGTTCCTTTATTAGATAAAGGCTCATGAAAATTTCATAAATCAAGACTTTTCACACATTGTAGCATTAAGCGTTATGTCCCAAATTTGCAACGGTTGAAATAAACAAAGTTAAATTCTTATTTTTATGAACGCATATGGTAGTGTTGAAACCTGGGGGTTGGTGTGCCCCTACCAGCGTGTCAGCCTCCGCGCATAGATTGTTTTACGACGAAGGGCATTGCACCAAACTGATGGCTTCTGCGACAGGTAATCTGGTGGACGATAACAAAACCAACGTCCCAGTCTGTCTGGTTACGACAATACACAACCAACCATGTAGCAAAGCCTCGCCTGCCGATCTCCATTATAATACTACTCAAAACAAGTCAAGGAACACCCGGTGGTCGTGGTGATATATAATCGGTAATCGCTGGTGGGTATTGGAACACACAACCTTCCACATGTGACCCATGATGAACCTGGTTAGAATTGGTCTTCAACAACCCATGCTCGTCGTAAGAGGCAACTAACAGGATCTTATTCGACAAACAGTGAAAACCAAGGGAGGGTTATAATGGGCACAAACAATGAGTAAGGGGAGGGATACCACTAAATTTTCTGTCCATAGATCAACTGGAGCACCCGTGCGTCCTTGTGTTTTAGATATTTTGTAAAAAAGCAAAACCTTCAGATCTGTGTAGATGTATCTCGAAAACGGAGATGTATCTCGAAAACGGACTTATTCTTTAGGTTAATGTTATAAGGATTTGCAATAATATTATATTGTAGCTGATATATTCCGTCATTCACCTGACGAAGGGGCAGGAAGTAGCCCAGAAACGTTGTGTTGTAAATATTAAAGAACTTGTAAATCCATACCATACGTTGTTGTGTTACCTCCCAACTTCTGAATGTCCATCAAGCATCTGCAGCTGATAAGGTACCCGTGAAGGTCCGGGTTAGAATGAACCTTCAGTAACCCATACTTGTCGTAAGAGGCGACTAACGGGATCGGGTGGTCAGGCTCTCTGGCTTGGTTGACACATGTCATCTGTTCCCAATTGCGCAGATCGATGCTCATGCTGTTGATCACTGGGTTGTCTGGTCCAGACTCGATTATTTACAGACCGTCGCCATATAGCTGGAATATTGCTGGGTGCGGCGTAAAACTAAACTCACTCACTCACTCACTCACTCACTTAGCTGAAATGGTACCATCAAAGAAACAGTGTTCTGTGTGCTTTTCTATCGTTGACATCAGAAGGTGGAAAGGAAATGAAGCTGAGGAGTTTCTGAAAGCCGGCATGTGAATGTTCAAGAACGGACAGTTCCTTCAGTTAGTTTGGTGAGGATTCACTAGACGCCATTTCTGGTCCTCAGACATTTCACACACAGAGGAATCGTTAGGGAGTAAATATTTGATTTTAATGAAATTAAACGTTTTTCGGAAATGATACCTCCGTGGACAAAAGAAGTCCCAATAGTCACATGCCCTTGTCGCACTGTTTCTTCGAGACGTAAAAACAAGACGTCTGTCAGAGAAAAAGGACCAGACAAACGTCAACTTGGGACTGTGGAGCAGAATGTGAGGTGTGAGAAAGTGGACAGTGTTTTCGTCATGAGTCAAAAGGACGATAAAAAGATTTAGTAAGTTGGACCTGAATCAGTTGTGTCACCCTGAGGCAGTGGAAACTTGCGAGTGTGTTAGTTTGTGTAGTGCGACTTTCTTTGCAATATTGCAGCAATACCACGGCGGAGGCACCCGAAATGTATTTCACACCAATGTTCGGAATCGAACCCAGGGCTTCTGTGTGGCGAGAGAACGATTTAACCACTAGACTAAACCATTAACCTGTTAGGTTGGGAGAAATCATGATGCGACGCAGACGTTAAATGAAGTATAGGCAAACCGACACTGAGATTCGAACTCACGATCCAGCAGTTTCTTGACTGGAATCTCTGTCATGACAATTAAATCAGTAGTTAGTTGTCGGGCAAAATGTTATCACTTGTGAAATGAAAAAAAAAACACAGCCCAAAACAAACAAGCAAAACATTGACGTCAAATAGAGAAGCTAGAAGATGAAATGAGAATTAGTCAATGACGACAGTGAGATGTCAGATAGTGAGATGAGAGTGAGACGCAAGAGATATCAATAATGACAATTCAGGTAGTTAGGAAGTGAGAAGCATGACAGGGTAAAATCAGATAGTGAAGTGTCAGCAAGTGTGATATCAGTAAGTGAGGTGTTAGCGAGTGTGACATCAGTAAGTGAGGTGTTAGCAAGTGTGATATCAGTTAATGAGGTGTTAGCGAGTGTGATATCAGTTAGTTGTCAGCGAGTGTGATATCAGTTAGTGAGTTGTTAGCGAGTGTGATATCAGTTAGTTGTCAGCGAGTGTGATATCAGTTAGTGAGGTGTTAGCAAGTGTGATATCAGTTAGTGAGGTGTTAGCAAGTGTGATATCTGTTAGTGAGGTACTAGCAAATGTGATATCTGTTAGTGAGGTGTTAGCGAGTGTGATATCTGTTAGTGAGGTGTTAGCGAGTGTGATATCAGTTAGTGAGGTGTTGGCGAGTCTGATATCAGTTAGTGGGGTGTTAGCGAGTGTGATATCAGTTAGTTGTCAGCGAGTGTGATATCAGTTAGTTGTCAGCGAGAGTGATATCAGTTAGTGAGGTGTTAACGAGTGTGATATCAGTTAGTGAGGTGTTAGCGAGTGTGATATCTGTTAGTGAGGTGTTAGCGAGTGTGATATCAGTTAGTGAGGTGTTAGCGAGTGTGATATCAGTTAGTGAGGTGTTAGCGAGTGTGATATCAGTTAGTGAGGTGTTAGCGAGAGTGATATCAGTTAGTTGTCAGCGAGTGTGATATCAGTTAGTGAGGCGTTGGCATGTGCAATATCTGTTATCTGTGACGTGTTACCAAGTGAGATATCAGTCACCGATGTGTCACCAAGTGTGATATCACATAGCGATGCGTTGGCATGTGCGATATCTGTTATCTGTGACGTGTTAGCAAGTGAGA